ATTGATCCATCTGCTTTTTTAGGGAAAAAGTCTTTCCTTCTTCCATTTACTTCTCTTCAAATATGTTCATTCTAGCTTGTTAAATAAGCCATTCAGTTCTGTGCATCTTTTTGCTACATTTATTATATTTTTATATCATGGAATGTTGAAGTCCTCAGTTAATATTATATTTACTTTCTCTTCTAATACTATTACTTTTTTTTTTTAATTTGACTACCATGTTATTCAAGGGGATATGTAGGTCCAATGATAGATATCCCTGAAAACCAACCCCACCATGTTTAGGAACGCTTATCACCAGGGCTGGCTTCAAGACAACTTATTTGTGGCTTATCTACTAAGAAATATCCACATGAACAAAATGTGAATCATAGTATTAAAGTAAATAATTTGGGGCAAAAAAAAAAGAGGCTATATTGTTAGGTTTTCATTATTGACTATTTTTTATAGTGTAAAAAGGCCAAGGTCTCCCACTGCATCCTAGGCCATCACCAGCCATCTTGACTTATGTCCAGCCACTGGACTCTGATGACTCTGGAGGAGAGAGTGGCTGATGACTTTGCACAGCTTTGCCTCACTTAGATCCAATTCACTTGCAGGTCAAGACATTACCCTGCTGATGTCATTAGTCCTCTTCCAGAAGGAAGGATAAACAGCACAAAGAGCTGCCAAAGATTTAAAAGTGGCAGACTTGTATTCTCATCCCCCTCTTTTAGGGTCCACAAGGATTTTATATTCTTCACATAACTACTAAAATATACTCTTCTTATGGCTCTTTAAGGACAGAATTATAGTATACTATCTTCAAATAATTCCATGTTGCTAATACATTACCATAGTTTCCATATCACAAAGAATAATGAAATAATATTTCTCATATCCGTATCCCAACAGATCAAAAACCTTTCTCAAACCTCTCTTCATAAAATTCCAAACCCCTTTTTACTTAATCAAACATCCTCTCTTCCTTTCTCTATACCTACCTCCAGTGGACTTTGATTAAAGCCCTGCAAAACTGGGACTTTCTTGTTCTCCTTTCATATTCTGATCTGCTTCATCTCTTTCATATCCCATATTATCTATAAAACTCATCTTCATGCCACTGAATTTCTCCTTTATAATTTGGCACACAAAAAAAAAATTCTACACAACCCCAGTTAAGTGCAATACTGTTGCCAAACACATGTTTTATTCCAATATCTTTTGGTGACTGCTAATTTAGCCAAACATTTCTGTTATATAAGGTTTTGGAAGTTAAACCACTGAGTACCCAAAAGACATTTCTACTCCCTTGTTGCCTCTTGAAATCTCCATTTCAATTTAATTTTACTTATTTTCAAGTTGCTCCTTGATTTAATCAAACTTTTCTGTTTCTGTGAGAAAAAAAGACAATCTTAAAATTCAAATTGTAAACTTGATTTGAAATATAGCCCAAACTTACTTCACTTCATTTAATCTATGGTCATGTGATATTGAGTAGCTATCATAATCTATTATAAAAATGATTAGGAGTCTCATTTTCTTCTTGACAAGGTGTTCAAAATCTACTCTAATTAATATCTATACCCTAATCAGAGTCTAATATAATTTATAGCAAAATTTCTAATTGCCAAACACACACCAATTCAAAAATTTCTTTCTAAATTGATCTAATCTAATCTAATTAGATGTTCTAATAAAACATTTATTTTTGGTTGTTCCCTGATTTACACAAACTTTTCTCTTTTTAGAGGGAACAGGAAAGAGTTAATAATAAGCAGGTAGTTCCCAAGTGCCATATCTATTTAAAATGTAAGCTGCAACCTTTTTTTTCTTCACTTTGAAACTTCATTGACACTATTTTCAAACTAGCTTCTTTCTAATAAGTGAAATTACCTTCTTCTCTTAGCTGCAAAACAATAAATCTGTCACTTTCCAGGCAAAGAGTAATAAGAAATGTAAGTGTTATTTTCCTTGTAACTTTCATAAATTTTTAATTCTCCTTTTTAAAAAAAAATTCTATGGAGAGCTAAAACTCACTAAAAACATTTCAGCATTTATAAAAACATTAAAGCCACATTTTAGAAATTCACAGTAGAGAACCTACATTTTAGTCATAAACTCAGTTTCTAATTAGTTTACAATGTCATAAATCTCTGTAAATTGGGGAAAAGATCCCCGTCCCACTTGTCTGTGTTTCTCTTGTCTGCCTTAGATGGAGTCAGGAGGGGATAGAGAGAGACAGAGAGAGAGAGAGAGAGAGATTGATTTGTTCTTTCTGAAGGAAAAAAAAATTCCAATAACCAAACCCCAAGAAAAAGTTACTTTGACTAACAAACATAGATAATATAACAAGATGACACAAAGATACTAAATAAAATTAGAATTCACAAAGGAAAGTCCTTTATTTAGGTCAAATTCTGGGAGATACACACACACACATATCTTTGCTCTAATTTTAGTCACCCCCAATTAACAACTGGGAAGATTCCCTGTCATCAGGCCTCCCCAACCAAAATGATATTTCCTTCTCCTGGCTTGAACCAGGAGCCCTCCTATGAAGGAGGAAATATTCCTTCAAGAGTTCAGTAACCCTCCTAACCCTCTTGCAAGAACCAGGAGTTCCCTTTGAAAAATAAAATTCTCCAAGCATTCAGTATTGCCTGAAGAGGTGTCAATCCCTTAGGGGGATTTCTTGGGTCTTCTATTCCACCTATTGCCAGTGTATCACATTTAAACACTGATAGGAAGACAAACAAACATAGCTGTGGCTTCCCCAACAGTATGGGACTTACCTGGCTTAGAAGAGATTGGGGTCAGGAGGGTCAGATCCCTGGTTGTAGTCCTTCATGGAAAAAAGCCTCAGATGGCAAATTACACCAGTGAGCTCTTAGGGTTTTTCCCTGTAGGGTTATTTCAGGGACCACCCCGCCCCCTTGTATCCCTTCATGGTCGCCAACTGTTGCAATTGAAATTAAGGTAAACTTTGGTGCAAAGTTCCAAGCACATTCAATTTACTGGTAAGTCTAGCAATTGTCAATAAAAAGGGTCTCTTGACTCCTCAGTCAGTCAAAAGACCACAAGGTAAGGCTTACCAGCCTTCATCTTGTTTTGAGAAATACAAGAGAACAAAGAATAGGAAGCATCAAACAATATGATTGGTTACAAAGTCTGAAGATGGAAAACAATGTGATTGGATGGAAGTCTGGAATGCAGGGCTAGCAACAGCCTCTCCTTACATCCGGTTGCTATGGAAAGCTCATTGGTGGTGTCCACTTGCATGGATAACAGTCCAGACTTTCTTGAAGGATAGACAACATTGCAGAGATAACAGACTTCCTGGTACCCACATGCATCTTGCAAGCTTGTTAGGAAGATAACATATCTCTGTTAATTGTACATGGGGAGCCAGGCAATATATTTCTTTGAATTAAGGTGATTTATGGGACAACTTAACTCATAGAGGAAAGCTAATCTTCTGAACTTAACTCAGAGACAAAGAAACATGGCTTAGGCAATTTTATAACATATTTGGGGTGATACCAAATAGAATCAATTACAAAAGAGAATCAGATTTTCTTGATTTTCTCATCTGACAAGACAACACCTGACCATGAAAATCTTTTGTTCCACACAGAGGTTCAATGATTTTCTTATAGCAAAGAATCAACAAACTTAAAGATGAATTAGGTATTTTTCTTTTTCAAAAAACACAAAAGTCCTATATTTGTTCACCTATTGCACTTAACTACTGGTTGTCAGTAGTGTGTCACCTATAGATACTTTCAAAAAGTAAACAACCTACCTTCAAGTTAAAAGTAACATTTCATCATGGGGTAAAAAAGTAACTACTTTTTCAAAGAAACTCTTATTCTGGAGACAGCATTTTTAATTTTGAAATATTTTTAAATTACTTGCTTAGGGATTTGTGGTGGGAGTGATATCCTAATACCCCACCCTTAGGGGTTAGGCCAATTTTTCTTTTCTTTTCTTCTTTTTTTTCAGATTTTATTAATTTATTTATTTTTAGTTTTCAACATTCACTTCCACAAGATTTTGAGTTCCAAATTTTCTCCTCATCTCTTCCCTCCCCCAACCCCAAGATGGCATGCATTCTGAATACCACTTCCCCTAATCTGCTCTCCCTTCTATCTTCCCCCCTTTTCTTATCCCCTTTCCCTTCTATTTTCCTATAGGTCAGGATAGATTTCTATACCCCATTGCCTGTATATCTTATTTCCCAGTTGCATGTGAAAACAATTTTTAACATTTGTTTTTAAAACTTCAGGTTCCAAATTTTCCCCCTTCCTCCCTCCCCACCCGCCCTTATTGAGAAGGCAAACAACTCGATACAGGTTATACACGTGCAGTCATGCAAAACACTTCCATAGTAGTCATGTTGTGAAAAACAGTATTTACTTTCATCCTATCCCACTCCCCCCATTTATTCTATTCTATCTTTTGACCCTGCCCCTCCTTAGAAATTCTTGCTTCTGATTACCAACTCCCCCAACCTGCCCTCCCCTCTATCATCTCTCTGCTCTCTTATCCCCTTCCCCCCTATTTTCCTGTAGGGTAAGATAGACTTCCATACCCACTTGAGTGTGTATGGTATTCCTTCCTTAAGCCAAATCTGATGAGAATAAGATTCGCTCATTCCCTGGAGAGAGCATTTTGAAAACAAAAGTTTGAAAAGGTTTCCATTTTCAAGTGACTTTGTTGCCAAAAAATGACTATATCACCTTGAAAAACTCTCCTATACACATGCTTAGAAAGAGAATTCTGCAACCTATTAAAAATATATAGGTTCAACACTTTCCAGGTAGTTTACAAAAACAAAACAAAACAAATAACAAAAAATAGATGGAAATTTTCTAGCTGAACATTATTCTAAGAATTTTATGTTTTGCTTTTCAGTTTTGGGGAGAGGTGGGAAATGAGGAAACCAACAAAATATTTGCCTGCCCCCCAAAAAAAAGAAAGAAAAGAGGGTCACTGGAGGTTTTTTTTTTGTTTTTGTTTTGTTGAAGAATGCATAGAAAAGAACATAAGTAAGGCCAAAAGGAATGTAGACAAGGAGGACATCTTTGAAAGCTACATGTTGGATTTATTATAGCCTTAGAAGGAAAAGCAAGCTCTATATAATAGAGATTCACCATTTCATGTACAACCCTCTCTTTCTGTGTCATGTTAGTATATATTTTATACTCCACATAATATAATAACAGTTATACATGTATGCAATTTATAAATAAATACAAATATACGGAGGAGCTCAAAAATTTTTGCTGACAGGGGTATGTAATCAAAACAACTTGGAGACCACTGTCTTAGAGAAATATTTAGGGTGCTGAGAAGTTAAATGGTTTCCTTGTGGTCAACAGCTCATCTGTGTCAGGGGCCTGACTTGAATGAGATAAGACCTTCCTGATTTCAAGGTTAGCCCCCTCTCCACCACACCCCATTGCCTCTCAGGGTCTTCTGTATCAAAATGTTGCTAAAAACAATAAATTAGAATCCTAGGATGCCAGATTTGGACAAGACCTTAGAAAGTAGCAACTCTCACTCCTTCATTTTTCAAATAAAGAAACTGAGACTCAGGATAGAGTCAGTGACTTCTTTAAGGTCCTTACGTAGTAAGAGCTAGCCCTCAAACCCAGGGCCTCTGACTAAATCTGAACAACAAATATTATTCTCAAAATAAAAATTCTTTATTAGAATGTGTAGCTTAGAAAAAGAAAGGAAAATGCATTTTCCTTCCTTTGTACCACTGATGTCCCTTGAGGGCAGAGGTAGAGGGATAATACGGTTGTACAAGTAAAGCTAATGGCAAATGATAAATATTTGGTTCATTTTCAGCAAAAGAGACTGGGCTCTAAACTGTTCACACCTCCCATGTGATAGGAGGGGAGTTAAAGTGTAGACACCTCCTATATAATAGGTGGAGCCCTAAAGTGTTCACATCTCTCAATTAATATGAGGGGCTAAAGTGTTCACACCTTTAATGTAATACTGCCCCTAATTGCCTGAAGTGTTCACACCTCCCATGCACATGGGATCAGGTGTCTTGCTGACCAGGGCCAGTGTCTGAATTCTAACACAAACTTAAAAGGCAGTATGATTGGTTTTGCCTAGCTTGAATGCAAAGTTCAGCGAGTCCTGAATGTTCCAAAATCAGGGGGATGCTCAGTCAGTTGTTCTGCTCAAGTGCTCGAGGAAGTCTCTTTAGATCAAGTTCAGGGCTGTTTTTGAGGCTTCCAAGATAAACTCTGGACTTCTGACTCACCAAGAGGCATACTGCTTGGTGACAGTCAAACTCAGTGAACTGAACAGTGTTCTTTCATACAGAGAACTATTCCAAAGGCTTGATAATGTATTTCATAGTTTCCTTCTCCTTTCTAGGGCTCCTTCAAGTATTTATTTCCTTTATCTCAGGTCTGAAGCTCAAAGCTCAGACTTCAGATTGTGGAAGGCTAATAGATCAGGTAGATTTTTATGTCTATAAAAGTAGAGGCTTTATCTCATCCACTCTTATGATCTGAAAGTCTTTATCCACAAAGAACTGGTAAGTTTCCATCTTGTCTCTTGCTTTGACTTCATTTTTCCCATGTTAGTTAGGTATTTCCTCCACCTAATTTATGGCTTAAAAGATCCAAATAGCTCCTCACTGTTTAACTTTTCTTCTTCATAGAGCAAAATATTTTCCATCAATTTCTTCTTGGCATCATTGACTTCAACTTCCCAAGAATCTTCTGTTGCTAACATCAAGGAAAAATTAATATAAGTAGGAGCAAAAAAAAGGGGGAAGGAAATCCACATTTTTAGGTTCACTAATTAAGTCACTCCTCCCTCCTTCCACTCCCTCCCCACTCAAAAATTTTCAATGACTTAAGATCTTATTCTTCATGCTCCCAGAGGGCAGAATTAGGAGGCTTGGGTAAAAGTTGAAGAGAGAGGTAGATTTCATCTGGATAGAAGGAAAAAATGTCTTAACAATTAAATCTGTCCAAAAGTGGAATGAGATGCCTCCACCTAGATGGTTCCCTGTACCTGGACAGTTTCTAATTGCTCTAGTTGCTAGTGTCCCACCCACACCCCTACCTAAATCACGAATTACCTAGAAGGGCCTGATGGTAATGGGTCAAAGAATCTTTCATAGTTGGGAAGGGAGAAGAAAAAAGGACCAGAGAATGGTTCTGTAGTAGGTGAATGCCCACAGAGCCCTGGATACATGTGCAGGGAAGGGAATTTGAAAAAAAAATTAAGGCATCTAAATGAAAATGAAGAAAGACTAAAGACAAGCTTCTTCAACCTCACCATTTTTACTGCCTAAAGACCCAACTCTTGACCTCTTGGGAACAATTTAGAAATTATGTAACCCCCTAATAGAATACTAGGCAGCAGCTGCCAGAGGTAATTGGGGGCGTGCCAGGGAAAGTGTGTGATTCTGAGATGGGGAAGGAGAGAATAAAATTCCCATGTTCTTACCATCTTGAGGATGTGAAGGACCAGGACACATTGAAGAATCAGCCTCTGCCCCATTGGTCAGATACCTTCCTTCCCTGTACCCTTGTTGGGGTGATGAGGATCCTGCCCCTGCCCAGAGTCCATTCTTGTCATGGTCATCTGAAGAAGGAACTTCTGTGCTAAGATGGTCAACGTCATCGGTTTCTTCTGGTGTGTTCACTGATGCCCTCTTCAATTCCAAGTTGCTTCCAGGGTTGAGGAGACTCTGATGATTTCTGATCTGTCCATCTAACTCTGCCACAGTAGCACGCACCTGTGGGGGAGGAGATACGTTCTCCAGTCAGCTCTTCTTTATAAAGGAGAATGCAGGTGATACAGTGAAAAGAGCCATGGCTTCGGAAGTCAGAAGACCAGGCTCTTAGTCCCAGCTCTGGACAAGTTGTTCAGTCTCCCTAACCTCAGTTTCCATATGTGTAAAAATGAAATTTGCCCTTTCTGACTCACAGAGTTATTGTGAGGATTAAATAATATAATGGATGAAGCGCCCTGCTTGCCTCAACCAGCTCATTTATTCAGTTGGTTAAAAGCATGACTGGGGAGGAAACTCAATCTTACCTGGGTCAGGTTGGGGGGTTTTTTCTGCAGGCAGAGGTAGACAGCTGTGGCAAAGTCTACAGCACAGTTCTCTGGAAGGTGCCCAGCTTTGGCATCCTGGTATTTCTGGCAGATCTCCTCTGCAGCTAGCTGCTCCACACACTTGTTCTTGGAGCACGGTGGGGCTTTAGTGCTTGGGATCTCACTGATAAGTAGGTCCTTCTATGGAAGGAAGAGATGGTTATGTGAGCTGATAATGCGTAACCACAAGTTCCCCCCAAACCATCTGCAATAGGGACTTTCAAACTTTTTCAGGCTGTGGGTTTTTTTTTTTTCCAAAAAGAAATTTATGGCATCTTGATATCATGGAAAAACAAATGTCATCAATTTTCTACCTATACAATCCTTTTATTGGTCACTTCCTGGTCCAGTCCTGGATTTGCCCTTGGGAACAAAGGCACCACTATAGGGTGAAGGGAAGAGAAAAAATTTGGAGATAGAAGTGCAAGGGAGAACATTTTAAAATAATATTCCCTCGCTAACATAAACTATAGAGATATGGAAGGGAAATTAAAATATTTCACAAAAATTCTGAAAACTAAACTCTGCTTGCCAAATATTTCACCAAACTCAGTGAACTTCATAGAACCCTAGACATCCCATTGTGGAACCCAGTGAGAAAACCCCTGGTCTAGGCAATGAGAAATTTGTTTGGCCACTAGCCACATCCTGACCCAAAGTGGCCACTTTGTAGGCTGGGGGGAAATGGGGTAGGCCTATGAACCACAGTGATGGGGGAAAATAACAATTCTTTTCTCATCTAGGTGGAAAAAGAGCCTCTTCCTGCTTCTAGCCCTGACATAGAATGGAGGGCAATACCGGGGCCAGCCAAGAAGGGGGAGAGTTTTGGTGCCGTGCAAAAGGAAATTGCCAAATCCAAGGGTTGCATGACATAACACACCCCTTACAGGAAATTACCTACCCCAATGAGGGAAAAAATGAAACTACTCAAATGACAGTCTGTAACAGACCAGAGAAATATCATTAACATTGGAGTAATCCATTAACACCATGAAGAGCTGACTTCTGTATATGAAGGCTGAGTCAGTAGAGCAAGGGCTTTTGAATTGACTGGTCCCCCAGGAAAGGAGATACATTTGCCCAGCATTTCCAAACTTACCACAGTGACTAGGGGAACCCAGCAAACAAAGAAAGGATAGAGAGCAGATTTAACTGTGACTAACTGTGTTAGTCACATAGTTTGGTATGGGGTGGCCTTGAGCAAAGGTATTTAGGAATCAATCAGTTAATCAACAAGTATTTATTAAGTGCCTACTGTGTTCCAGGCACCAGTGCTAGGTACTGTGAATAGCATGAAAACAAACTCTCTTGAAGAGCTCCTGTCCTGTAGAAGGGGATAACATGTACACATAAGTAGAAACAAAGGGAAGACTAAGTAAAGTATTGCTCTGAGATCAGACTGGCCACAGCCCTGCTGCTGCCTTTGGGCAGAACTGGTTTAGCGCTTAAGAGAAAACAAAGATTTTCTGCAAATGGGGAAGGGCATAGTGGTAGCTGAGTAGATGAACACTCATATTTTGTGGGCTCGATTGGAATTGGGAATTGTGGGAATTGTGACACGTCTCTTCCCTCTCCTCTCCTCTAACTTCTCCACAACTGTGGCTCTGCTTGGGACCAACTCTGCAGTCAAAAGTCGAGTTACCAGGAGGGTAAGTCTGTGAAGACAGGGTCATTCCGAAACAGCCAAGGCTACATAGGTGACTACCTTCCACTGACATGTCTGAGAGCCCCAGATAGAACACATATTCTCTCCTCCCACCCCACACCCAAGCTAGTCTCTGGCGAAGGTAAAAAGGTTATTAATGGGCCCAAAGGGAGATGCAGCCCATGAACTTGGCCTTGATAGTACAGAACCTTAACTAACTGAAGCAGGGCCTTACCAGATAAACTGGAGTTCTCTCTTTATCCATCGCTGGAATACCAGTCAGAATCTCTGCTAACACCTAGAGAGAACATTTTATTAGGGTCTTGAGTGTGCTTATATACATAGTCTAGTCAAGAGAGTTACCATTGATTCATCCTAATAATATCTAGTATTTGGAAAGCACTTCAGCCTCTGTGTGTGTGTGTGTGTGTGAGTGTGTATGTAATGTATATATGTTTAAAGCTGTTTCCAATTGATTACTGAATTTGCATTTATCCCCAATATCCCATAGTGGATGTTAGGTGGTACAGTTATCACTGCTCCCATTTTTCAGGTGAGAAAATTGGCACCACTGTTATGCAGACCTGAGCTACCACTAAGATGGTCCCTAGAAGGTCTTCCAACCACTAGTCTCTCCCTGTCGTGTGTGGGGTCATGAAGAATTGGACACAACTGAACAACAACAACTCCAATCCATACTGAGCATAACTCCCAGACTCATCTCTTCTTTAAGCACTGCTTTCACTAAGTTATTCTACTCCACAGAAATCTCCACAGGATCACAGAATCAGAGGTAGAAGCACCTTAGAGACCATCTCATCCAACCATGTATTTTATAGACCGGGAGACTGAGGTTCAAGATTATACAGGTAGGAAGTGACAGAGGCAGAATTTGCTCTCAGGTCCTCTGACGCTAAAACCAGCGGCCTTTCCATTGTACCATATTGCCTATACTCCTTAACTATTTTCCTAGGCTATCCAAAATCTGTCCCCCATGTAGCTAGCCAATCTTACCACCTACTCTTCTTCAACACCACCTTCCTCCAGATCCAAGTCATGCCCCTCACCGCTCCCCAGGCATGTCTGGCTCATCGCCATCTCCGTGACTTTACTCTGTGCCCCCTCCATTCCGTCTGACCAAATCCCACCCAACCTTCAAGGCTCAGCTCAAGTCCCACTTGTACAGAAAGTCTTCAGCAGCCACTCCAGCCCACACTTATGTCTCCATTCTCTGAAATTCGATACCACTTACAGTCGGTACCACTTGTTTTTCCTGCAATTAATTTTCTGTCTCATGCTGTGATGTTTCCATCTACTTGTCTCACCTCTCCAATAAGATCTGCTTTTAAAATGTCCTGTTTTAATGAACTTAATCATCAACAGACACAAACATTTCAATGTTAAAAGAACAAAAAAAAAAGACTATATACTAAACCATGAACTATTACGTATAGCTTGTTTTTTAAAATTGTGTATTAAACTTAGCAAGGTTGTAACAAAATTGCCCGGCTTGTGCCAAAAAGACCTTTAGATCCTTGACAGCAAGACCATGGCTTTTGATTGTTTGGAGGTCTTCCTAAGCAAAGTCTGAGCACTCATTAGATTCTTGCAGAATTTAATTAAGCCCAAAGTGTTAGGATACACAGGTAGGTCACAACAAAGGCAAGACAAGAACCCAGAACTTGAATCTGTCCTTTTAACTCTACGCCCAAGAACTTATCACAATACACTACACAATGGAAGGTGATTTTTCAAGTACACAAAGGTCCTTTTTCTGAGAGGCTGCCCTCCCGAATATTCCCCAAGATTACTGAGTCCAACATAAGGGCAAAATGTTGCACATATGGCCACTATTATCTGTTGTTTCTGCTTAACTAGGGAGGATTCAATTCCAGCAAACAGAACTGGAAGGGAGGGGTATATCTTGAAATGACTACAATATAAAAACAAAAGACACAAATAAAACTTTTTTTTTTTAACTTAGTAAGTCCATTTCCAACTAAATCAATGATTAAATGCTGGTGTGGGCCCATTCTTGTCCTAGACACTGTTGGGGATACAGAGAAATACAAGGTATGGTTCAGGCCCTCAGGAAGCATCTTGGCATAGTGGACAGTGACTGGACTTGAAGTCAGAAAGACCCAGGTCTTCCTTTGATACTTTTCAACTTGTGTTACTTAAGGCAAGTCACTTAACCTCCATGAACCTCAATTTCCTCACCCGTGAAACAGAAATAACAATACCTGTAGTATCTACTGCAAAGGAATAGTACATACAGGCTGGGCCAGAAGTCAAGAAGACCTGAGTTCAAATCTGGCTCAGGAACTGACTAGCTATGTGAACCTGGGCAAGTCACTTAACCTCTATCTGCCTCAGTTTCCTCATCTGTAAAATGGGAATAATCATAGCACCTACTTCCCAGGGTTTTTGTGAGGATCAAATGAGATAACATATTTAAAGCATTTTACAAACCTTGAAGTGTTACATAAATGTTGGCTGTTGTTGTTACTAAACTAGATGGTCCCTAGACAAGTGCTTTCTAGCTCCTGTGAACCTCCTGGTTGGAGAAAACAATCACTCAGGAGTCACTTTTTGAGAATGCTTGTCTATTCATTATTGGAATTAATCAGACAAATTGTTCCACCAACTAAGAATGGCCACCCATCAGTATCCATAGAATTGAAAAAGAACTATCAGTCTTGTTGATCATTGCTTTGTCATGCCCCATTCTTTCCACCCAGGGAAGAATCTGTGACTTATTAAGTTGCCTAAGGCACATAAAGGAGAAGTAACTTTCTCAGTCTCAAAGCTAATAAATGTCAGAGGTAAAATTTGAATGCAATTCTTTGTGATGCCAAGCCTAGCACTCTACCCATTCTGCCATACTACAAGGCAGGCAAAAAAGAAAGACACTTAGAGACCATCCCTACAAAGAATGGAAAACTTACTATTCCACAGCTAAAGATGTCAACTCTTTCTGTGAGCTGCCCGACTCTGATGAAATCTTCTGGAACATATGCAGCCAAGGCCTGGAAAAGCTGGGTGTTCATCATGGTATAGGAGGATTTTTTATCATCAGAGGATAATCGAACCCTTGGGTGTCCAACTTTCGGGGTGAAGTTTCTTTCCAACAGAATATTGGAGCTATAGGAGATCAAGCAGAGGCAAAATGTTATCCTTCCGAACTGGGCAGAAAAAGGCACTCAAAAACAAATGGGGCCAAAATTTGGAGTAGCCTGAGTTCTATAAGCTACAATCAATTTTGTTGGATTCCTTGGGTGTGGCCTCAAAGAGTCTAACCACAATGCTATCCTTACAATACTCCTAACAAGGTCAATAATATCAGTATTATATTCTCCCATTTTACTAAGTTGTTGAATGTCAGAACAGGAAAGAACCGTGGAGATCATCTAATCTAATCAGAAGATGAGGATAAAGGAGACAAAGGGTCTTGCTCACAGCTCAGTCTGTGGGAGGCAGTGCGATACCATGAAAACATCAGGAGACGTGAAATCAAAGAACATATGTTCTAATCATGACTTTGCTATTTATTTATTACCTGAGTGAACTTGGGTGAGTTTCTTTACCCTACCTAAGCCTCAATTTTCTCATCTGTTAAATGAAATCTGTTAGATTAGAGGAACTCTTGGGTCCCTTCCAACTATAACTCCTTCTATCCTACAAGAGGAAAAGGGGATAAGGGCATTGAGAGCCATAACTAGGACAAGGCAACTGGGGCTTTATTCCACGGCACCAGCATGTAGGAGGCAAACTTCCTTCCTCTTCCTGTAAACCCTCCAGTCCTCCAGAAATTGCTGTCGTGTCTTGAAAAATTCCACCAGCCTATGGACCCTGTTCCCTTGGCTGGCTTATAACCAGGGTACTCCTTTCCCTCAGCCTACTTTTCCCCCAACACTTACTAGGACGCTGGTGGGATTCTCTGAAGGACAGAACGTCGGCTCTCACAGGGCAACTGCACCCACAGCATGATTTTCCTCTAGTCTACTGCCTCCCTCCCCAAAACTGCTTTTGTCCTGAATGAAAGGATTCCAAGTTAGGGCTCTAAGGAAACCAAACAAGAACAGTCACTAATTCATCCTATTGTGTCCTGTTCTCACCTTTTGATATTGCCATGAATAATCTTGAGACCATGTAAGTATTCTATGGCTCCAAGAAATCCTAAGGAAATGCTAATCCGCTGTTCCCAGGTCAGGGGATCAGTATTGTCCTAAAGAAAGAAGAGAAAAAAATGAGTTACTTCTGGGCTTTTAGTTTTAACTGGAAAGTAAATTTTATTTTTAATTTATGGAATAAAACAAGCATTTCCATAAGATAATACAATAAAAAAGATGATTGCACATGAAACTATAAATCCACTATGCACAACTTACTATTCCTTTCAAATATGTAACAAAGGGGCAGCTAGGTGGTGCAGTGAATAAAGCTCTGGCCTTGGAGTCAGGAGGACCTGAGTTCAAATCCAACTTCAGACACCTAATACTTACTAGCTGTGTGACCCTGGGCAAGTCACTTAACCCTGATCACCTCACCAAAAAAGCAAAAAATAAATAAAAATGAAAATAAATAAAAAACAAATATGCAACAAAATTGTCATATAAATTTCTTCCCTCTGCCCCCCCCACCCTAGAGATGGCTACCATTAGATACAAATAGGTATATGTGTGTGTGTGTGTGTGTGTGTGTGTGTGTAAAATTATCTGTACATATTTCGATTTATCAGTTCTTTCTTTGGATGCAGATAGTGTCTTTCTTCATATAGCCTTTATAGTTAATTTGGGTATTTATAACAGTCAAAATGACTTATTCGATGAAAGTGAAGTCCACATGATAGCAATCCTAACTCCTTTTTTTTAGTGCCCCTCAGAGCATGGAGGGCAGGTAGATAGTACGGTGGATAGAGCGCTGAGCCTGGAGTCAAGAAGACTTGAGTTCAAATCCACCCTCAGGTACCTCCTAGCTATGTGACCTTAGGCAAAACACTTAACCTCTGCCTGTCTCAGTTTCCTCAGCTGAATAACAGGGATCATATGAGCACCTCCCTCACAGGGTTGTTGTGAGAATCAAATGAGATAATATTTGTAAAAGCACTTAGCACAATATCTGGCATACAGTAGGTGCTATATAAATGCTTTTCCCCTTCCCTATGACCTACATGTTTTTTTCATTGCCACCCATGTTCATGTAGCCATAATTTTATCCTGGGGTCTTCAACTACTATAGAGTCATTAAATTACATAGAATCCTACATTTTGTACCTCTCACACAGTAGGCACATCAATGTCTAATTAAATTTCACTTTCTTAAAACATAGAAAATGTGAGTTGGAAGGGAACCTTAAAATACTGACTACCTGAGTGGAAAACGGCCTTAAAACCTGGCCTATTAGAACATAGAATGTTAGTGCTGCTAGAGACCTTGGAACACAGATCATCAGAGCTAGAAGGGACTTTAGAAATTACCGAGCCAAAGACTTATATGAACTGATGCAAAGTAAAGTGAGCAGAACCAGGAAATCATTGTTCACAGAAACAGCAACATTAGAATGATGATCAACTGTGAAAGACTTAGCTATTCTCGGCAATCCGATAATCCAAGGCAATTCCGAAGGACTCATAAAGAAAAATGCTATCCACCTCCAGAGAAGGAACTGATGGAGTCTGAATACAGATCAAAGCACACTTTTTTTTTTTTGCTTTATTTTTCTTGGGTTTTTCTCCTTTTGGTCTGTTTCCTTTTGCAACACGGCTAATATGGAAATGTTTTTACATGACTACATATGTATAGCCTCTATCAAATTGCTTGCCTTCTCAAAGAGAGGGGAAGGAAGGGAGGGAGTTTGGATCTCAAAAAAAAATTTAATGAACATTAAAAATTTTTTACATGCTGAGAAACATTTAATGAAATAAATAAAAATATATTGGAGAAAAAAAGAAAATCATCTAGCCCAACCTCCTCATCTTACAGAAGAGGTGGCTGAGGCCCAGAGAGGAGGATTTCTCTATTCCTCCCCCTCCCCCAGGGAAATAATTTGCCTGAGGTAAAACAGCTGGTCAAAAGCAGAGCTGAGACTCAAAAGAAGATCTCCTGGTCCAGTGTGCCTTCCAATGCATCAGTTAACTTCAAAGGCCAGCTCAGTGAATAGATTCCTACATTACATAAATGCAGATAAAAGCAAACCACAAGGAATCTTATTACAGAGAAGAGCTCAGTATAATAAAGTTATCCCAATTTAAGAAATATCTGCTCTTTCCCTTTCACCAAGATATTTCTTCTGGAAACTGATTCATTGAATGACAGCATCCCCCAATGTTCTCACTGATGGATGTATTCCTTCCACAATAAAGATCACAACACAGCCTACTGAGGATCCATAGATAGTAATAACAGTGAATGGAAAACATCTGCATGATGTTTGGTGTGTAATACTCCAAACATTTTCTTAAGAAGCAAAATAAGAATCAAGCAATGTACACGAAACTTCAGACTTTGCATTAGAACGTGGTAGCATCCAGAGGTCCTTACTTGGCACCGGAGTCTGTCCTCAACGGAGCCATTGGGCATGTAGGGATGTATCAGGCAGTGAAACGCTTCCCCAGTACAAAAGCCAAGCAAGGGTAAGATGTTTTGATGGGAACACCTGGAAACAAACACAAATTCATGTGTGAAGAATTCGAGGAGGTGAGTTCTTTAATTTCCATTACAGAATGATGGGATCTCAGAAGTGGAGGGGCCCTCAGGGCCCATCTAATCCAACCTATACAGAAAGAAAAAAAAAAAAAGGATTCCCATTCCACTATGCCCAAGAAGTAGTCTCCTGAGCATGCCTTGAAGACCTCAAATGATGAGAACCCACAACCTCCCAAGGTAGGCCATCTTTCCTCATTTGGATAGCTCTTGTCAGGAAATTTTCCTTAAAGCAAATCTAAATCTGCCTTTGATTGTTGCTAAACTCTTACTTAGTAATAGCTGACATTTATATAATACTTTAAGGTTTACAAAGAGCTTTATATATATCATCTCATTTTTCTTGTCACAACAACCTAGAAGGTAGGTGCTATCATTATCCCCATTTTATAGATGAGAAAATTGAGACAAATAAGTTAAGTGACCTGCCCAGGGTCACTCAAACAGTAAGCATCTAAAAGTCAGATTTAAAGTCGGGTCTTCCTGAGTCTGAGTCCAACACTCTGTCCATTCTGCCACCTCACTACTTAGAGCCTTTCCTAGGATTAAGCCAGCTTTATGAAGTGGGCTCTCAATCTCTAGCTGTTGCCAATATACAGAAAATCCCAAGGTCTGAAAGATGCCCTGGAAACTCACACGGTCATCTTATCCTGATACAATCCTCTGAAAATAAAAATGATATTAGATTTGACAGTATTCTAGAGTAAGAAAAACACATGAACTATATCAACCTGACACAAAGTCACCTGCTGCAATGGAGAGAGAGCCAAACAGAGTCAAGAGAGGTGGGTTTGAATCTCTGCTGCTAATCTGCCAAGTAGCTATGAGCAAGTCATAATCTATCTCCCCCTCACCCCCGCTTATTCACCTATAACCTGAAACTGACGTTATCTTCTTAACAGGATCAAATGAATATAAAACACTCTGTAAACCATAATGTAATAAATAAAGGTCTGCTTTTATTAATGAGTCAGTAGCATGAGTGAACATATATGTAAAATGTATGAACATAAACAAACATATACGTAAAATGCTTTGCAAACCTGAAAGGACGATATAAATGCTAGTCATCATTTTTGCTCTTAAACAGGAAGTTCTAATTAATATTATAATTTTATTACTATTAATAACAATTACATGGGGACTAAATCACTTAATAATCTTTGACATTGATATGGCACTTTAAGGTTTGCAAAGTATTTTACATGTGGTTATTTCATCTGAACTTCCCAATGACCCCATGATGTAAGTACTACAAATATCACCCTCATTTGATGCATGAGAAAACTCTGAGGAATGAAGGGAACTGCCCCAAGCCACATCGGAACATGCCAAAGGCAAAACATGAACACATCCTCCTGATTCTGGGCCCTGTGCTGCTGCTCCAATTGTTACTGTTTCCAAGGTTCCTTCCAGCTCTAAAATTCTGTCTTAATGGTGAATTCACTCTCAGCTGGGCATCACTACAGTCCAGTTTTATTCCTAATCTGTTGTCTACCTCTAAAAAAGTTACTATGATATCGCTGTTACAAGCACAGCAAGTTACTGGGCTTTCCTATGCCTTGGTCTTTCTCTCTGTACAAGTTACTATATAAAATAAAAATTCTGGTGAATAGTTTTAAAATCCTCAGATGAAAAGTCTAGAATTACATTTAAGTACCATTCAAATTTATACGGTCTTTAATTTTTAAGATTAATTTTTAAAATCTATTATTAATATTTAAAATCTATTATAATTACATTATAACAACATTTACCAATGGAGGACTGTAAAACTTATCGAATATTTTTTGGAGTATGTGGATTGAATGATTTGGCAGCATGATACCATGAGAAAGAGCATAGGATTGGGATTCAAGAGACCCGGGTTCCAGTCTTATGGACAAACCACTTTTCCTTCTAATGCTCATTTTCCTCATTTGTAAGATAAAGGGGTCAGATGAGATGATATCTATACTTGTCTCCTTCTCTATGACTCTCATGTGGATATGCAATTTTAATTGAAGGTATTTCCAACCAGACACTTACCTAAGACAAATCTGGACTTCCATGTGGAAGAAACTCTCAATGGATACATCTCTTGGGCACTTGGTCTGTTGAAAACAAATTCACATGAAAATACTTTTAAAAGCAGTCTTCACCATACTCACCTCCAATGTTTAACACCTTCTTGCCCACCCCTCCTAGCTTCAGTGCTACCCTGTGTAGCAATCAGGTAGACAAATACTTGCCTTTTGAAGCTTCTTAAAGGCATACAGCATGTTGTGTCGTTGCCCTTTATAGACATCAGCAAAACTCCCTTTGCTGATTTTGTTATCTTGGCTAAATCCATTGGTGGCCTTGATCACCTCCATTTCTGTCCAGTAAAGGCTCTCACCATTTAGACTCACAAGTGGTTTTTGCTGAGGAATGTAGACGTGGCAACTCTATCAACCCAAAGAGAAGAGATAAGCAGATCATAAAACCCTGTTCGTTATACGAGGAGGGTGAAGCACCCTAAACACAGTCGCCTCATGGTATTCTTAGAGCTTAAATGAAGAATCAGCTATGCGATATAGGTTATACATGTGCTATCATGTAAAACATATCTCCACATTAGTCACAGTTGTGAAAGAAGAAACAGATCAAAAGGAAAAAAAAAAACACAAAAAAAGAATAAAGTAAGTGAAAAAAAAATCAGTTATGATAATGTTCTTAAGGGCAGCTAGGTGGTTCAGTGAATAGAGTGTCAGGCCTTAAGTCAGAAAGACCCATCCTCCTGGCCTCAGATACTCACTAGGTGTGTGACCCTGGGCAAGTCACTTAACCCTGTTTGCCTCAGTTTCCTCATCTGTAAAATGAGCTGGAAAAGGAAATGGCAAACCACTCCAATATTTTGGCCAAGAAAAACCCAAATGGAGTCACGAACAGTTGGACATGACTAAAACAACTGAGAAATGGACTTTTATCTGGGTGTCAAAGCAGGTCCTGTATAGGCCTCCATTTGGTTCACCTTAATTTGGTGATATACTTACAAATACTCAAAATTGATTCTTTCAAAAAAGATTCTATGACTCAGACTTCTCACTAATTCAAGCCAGGCTGAGTGAGGTTTTTCAAGAATAATTATTTCTGGTGGGGAGATACAACAAATGACATTAGCTGAAAAACTGCTACCTAGGGATTTTAGTGGCAGCAGATGGAATTTTACCTTCGTATCTGATGAAGTAGAAGGATTAGTTTTTAAGGAATGATAGAGGTCCTCTTCAGTGAAAGGCAGATGTAGGGCTTGGTTTGAGGATCCACTTGGACATGGCCCTGAAATGGAAAATTAATGAAATATGACTGCATCAATCATATTTATTCCTATCAGCCTACAGGGAATTGGATTTGTCAAGGGGGAAACATTCTATCCAATGCCCCATCCAGTGGCCAAGAGGATTTTAAGACTAACTCTAGGTCCTACTAGTTCTTATCTATTCCCTCTTATCTATTCCCTCCACCCCCACCTACTTTACTGAATTTGTTCTCTCAAAGGTCCCTAAAGACTTCTAATGACAAAACCCAATGGTCTTTTCTCAATCTTAATCCTCCTTGATTTTTTTTTTCAACTTCTGACACTATAGAATTCTCCCTTGCCTTCCATGATACTGCACTTTTCTGGTTCTCCTCCTTCCTCTCTGATCATTCCTCTTTTATTTGTAAACTCTCTTTCCTGTTCCAGATTACTATATGTAAATGATTCTCAAGGTTTTGTTTTCAGGGTTTTTTTTCCCTCAATACACTATGTTTTGGCCATCTCAACCACTCCCCATGGCTTTGGCTGACACCCAATTCTATACCTCCAACCCCAACTTCTAGCCTGAACTTTAGCCCTTCGTTTCCACTTATACACTGAACATTTGCAGTTAGATGACCTGCCATAACCTCAACACATCTAAGGCTGATGATCACATCATCTGCCTCCCAAAAAACATGTTCTTCCTCCAGCCTTTCCTGATGTCATTAATAGCACCATCATTTTCCCAGTTATCCAAGTTCAAAACCTTCCATCTCCAACTCCTCCCAATCATTCCTTACATCTTACCAGTTGACAAATATTGCCCATTCTATCCCTGAAAATTTTCTGATATTGGTCTCTTCCTTTTGACTCCACTGCCATCACCTTGGTAGGGGCCCTCTGACTCTAAATTGAGTTATTTTAATAACCTCCTAACTGGTATCCCTACATCTAATCCCTCCTCTCTCTTATGTGGCTACATAAGAGAGTCTACATGTGGCTTCCAGAACCATCTCCACAATACACAGTTCTCATCATTCTACAGATCAAAAAACATCACTGGCTCCCCATTGCCTACTGGGCAAAGCCCAAACTTGGTAGCATAGTATTTAAGGCTCTACACAATCTGGTTCCAACCTACCTTCCCTGACTTATCTCCCAGTATTTTCCTTGACATACTAAACAATCCAGCTCATTGAGGATAGACCACTCCCCATCCTTTGAATGTGCCCCACATTTCCTAACCCTGTGTCCTAACCATTCTCTTTTCCTAGAATGCCTTTGCCTTCTTCCACTAACTGTTGTAACTCTGTCCACACTTCAAGGTCAAGCTCAAATACCATCCGTGCCTATCTCCAGATTCCTCTCCCCCTAATCAGAAGTCACTATTATTCACATTTTTCAAACAAAATAAAACTAAAAGATAATGGAACCAGCAAACTCTAGACCAGTGAGCTTGATGTCTATTTGTGGCAAAATTCTAGAAACTATTATTAAAGTGAACCATTAAGAAAGGAAATGGAAATTTTTTAAATTATGGTTTCTACAAGGCAGGTCTTGCTAACCCTTTTCCTGCCAGGATTACTAAGCTGGTAAATTGGGAATGCTACAGATATATCTTACCTAGCCACAGAATGCTAGAATCATTGTTTACATTTTAGCCAAGCATGTGATAAAGAATCTCATGCTATTCTTGTGAAAAAGATGAAACTATGTGGGCTAGACAATAGTACAATTAGACAGATTCAGAAATGGTTGACTATCTGAATTCAAGGAGTAATCAATGGTTAATGGTTCTATGCCAACTTAGAAGGACGTCTGCAGTGGAGTGCCCCAGGGATCTGTCTTTGTCCTTGTACTATTTGTCATTTATATCAATGATTTGTTTAAACGTATAGATGATATCCTTGTTGTGAGAGGATCAAACAAGATAAAGTATGTGAAGTGTGCTACAAACCTTAAGGAATACCTCATAAATTCCATCTTACTAGATTTGGCCCAAATCTCTAGGCTTTCAAAGTAATTTTGGATCCTGATGCAGCCCTGGTGTGTTAGTTATCCCTCCTAGCTTCATCCATCTGCAAACATGACAAGGCTATTGTCTATATGTTTAACTAAGTCAATGATATAAATGTTAATACTACCCAGGGTGTGAAGTACACATGAACAGGAATGAGACTGATGGTAATAATAATGATGGCTACTCTTTTCTTTTCTGTCAAGGTTACTAAATTAGTAAATCAGGGGAATGTTATAGATATAGTTTACCTAGATATTTAGCAAAAATTTCACAGGTACAGATCCCTAGGGAACTCTACTGCAGAATTCCTTCCAAGACAACATGGCTAGCATTTATATATGGCTTTCAGGTTTGCAAAGTGCTTTACAAATTACAAATTATTTTTATCCTCACAACAACCCTACGAGGTAACACTACTATTATCCCCATTTTGCAGATGAGGAAACTGAAGCAGACAGAGGTTAAATGATTTGCCTAGGGTCACACAGCTAATAAATCTGAGACTGGATTTGAACTCATGTCCTCCTGACTCCAGGGCCAGCGCTCTATCTACTGCACCACCTAGCTGCCCCCATTTGGTATTCTCTTGACAAAGATATTAAAGCGGTTTGCCATTTTCTTCTCCAGCTCATTTTTAACAGACGAGGAAACAGAGGCAAACAGAGTTAAGAGACTTGCCGAGGGTCACACAGCTAGTTAGTGTCTGAGGCCAGATTTGAACTCAGCAAGATAAGTCTTCCTGACTCCAGGTCCAGCATTCTATTCACTGTGCCATCTAGCTTCCCATCAAGAATATCATAAGATGTTTGATTCTTTGCTAAACATATAGGTAAACTATATCTGTAGCATTCCCTTGATTTACTAATTTAGTAACCTTAACAGAAAAGAAAGAAAAAATTAGCCGTTACTGTTATTACCATCAACCTCATTCCTATTTGTGGGTAAGGCAGAGGACCTGGCCCAGTGCCTTAGGAAGGATACTCTTAGTAACTATGAAATGCGTGGCTGAATGTAGAGCTGACCTTTTCCAGGCTGATTCCATACTCTAGAAAACCTGCTTTTGTCCCGGGTCACCACACACTGTTCCTGGAAGTACCTGAGCTAGAGAAGGGGGTCAGTGCTGAGGATCTTGTAGGGCTGTGTTCCTGGATTTCCTCTGGTTTTCTTGCTGAAGACAGAGGGGACCTCCCAGGGCCCAGGGAGTCAGGAAGAGCATGAGAAGTACTGGCAATTTCAGGATTGGCACCCCCTAGAAACAGGAGAAAATGAGAAGAGCTAGAGGATAAGGAGAAAAGTCTGCCCTCATTAAGGCCCAGGAGACGGCTCTAATGCCATCTAACCCCCTCTGTTTGTGAGTCACCAGCTGTCTAGGACTCAGTCTCCTCATCCAAAACGAGGAAGTTGAACAAGGGATGGGGAACCTGCCGCCTTCTAGCCACCTGAGGCCTTCTAGGTCCTTGGGTGCAGCCTTTTGACAGAGTCAAAAGTTTTACAGGACAAATCCTTTTCTTAAAGAGATCTGTTCTGTAAAGTTTGGATTCAGTCAAAGGGCCGCACTTGAGGACCTAGAAGGCCACATGTGGCCTCAAGGCCCCAGGTTCCCCACCCCTGAAGAGGGTGTCTAAAGTATCTTTACTTCAACATGTTAAGGATCTGTGATTTTGAAAAGTGCTTTTGATAACCACTTAGCAAACTTTAAAGTGCTATATGTTATTACTGAAACCACTATTATTATATATTGTCATATTCTACATAATATATGAAAGTATTATTATTATTTTGTTGTGGGAACTCCACTGAGGCAGGAATCCATTGATATGGTCTAGTTCTGAAGCGCTGTCAGCTGAGGCTCAGAGAGACTCATACAGATAGTAAGTGAGGGGTTGGGCGGGGAGTGGGGGAAGGAGCCTCAGGCTCCCTGAGCCCAACACTCTGTCCCCTCTTGGCACACCGGCTCTCAAGGTCCCTTTAACGACATCTGATTCCCATGCACTACTCACCCAATGCTATAGAACACGATTAAATTTCCAGAAAGAAGCACACATTACAATTGTAGTAGCTCACATTCCAGAAAGCAGTTAGCCTTCTAGTAAAAAGAACATGGAACTAGGAGTCAGAAGACCTTGATTCTAGTCTGAAGTCGGCCTTGGGTATTGAGGGCTACATGGCTGTGGATAAATCACTTTGTCCCTCTGAGTCTCAATATCTTTAGCTTTAAAAAAAAAATGAATTAGGGGCAGCTAGGTGACGCAGTGGACAGAGCACCAGCCCTGGAGTCAGGAGGACCTGAGTTCAAATTTGGCCTCAGACACATAACACTCACTAGCTGTGTGACTCTGGGCAAGTTACTTAACCCTAATTGCCTCACAAAAAAAAAAAAATGAATTAAACTATTGTATTAGATATTCTCCTTTTTTTTTTTTTAAGGCAATTGGGGTTAAGTGACTTGCCCCTGGTCACACAGCTAGTAAGTGTCAAGTGTTTGGTCTGAAGCTGGATTTGAACTCAGGTCCTCTTGACTTCAGGGCCGGTGCTCTATCCAGTGCACCACCTCCCCATATTAGAGATTCTCTAAGGTTCCTTCCAGTTCTAAAGTCTTAGAAACACATAAATATCTACTACCATTTTTACAGATGGAGTAAATCGATAGCAAGGAAGAATTTCAGAATCCTAAAGTTAACTGTTGTCTCTACTGAGAAGGAAAATTTACCCTTGACCCTTCCGTGAGATTTCTGTCTTCATCCATTCAACAAACACTTATTAAGCACCTACTATGTACAAAGTACCATACCAGACACTGGGGAAGAAGCAGTGGAAGGTGTTTTAAGTTAGTGAAGAATCTCAATCCTAGACAATTTCAAAAAAAAAAAAAAAAAATTTGTTGTTCTGAGTCATTAGCTCCATTTCCTTCTCCAGCTCATTTTACAGATGAGGAAACTGAGGCAAACCGGCTAAAGTGACTTGCCCAGGATCATATAGCTAGTAAGTGTCTAAAGTCAAATTTTAACTCAGGAAGAGGAGTCTCCCTGACTCCAGACCCAGTGCTTTATCTACTGTGGTTATTCTCAAATACAAAGGATAACTGGGTCCTGAGCTGGTCATTTAATTTCTTGGTACCCCCAGGACACTGTCTAGGACTAGAAGTTAGAGAGAAAGTGCCAACATTCATTGATGAAGGGAATTCCTCACAGGGAGCTCCATCCACTGAAGTAATCACACACACACACACACACACAGGGTTGTTGGCTTCAATCCTTGAGTTAGGAGTTTTATGAGAACTGAATTCCCACAGAGGTCAGGTTACCCATTCAAAAACCCAGCATGAGTCAGTACTGGGAATGGGAAGAGAAATCCTTCTCAAATTGGTATGTCCCTCATTGGAGGCTTTGAGGAATGATGGGAAAACCACTGGACTCAGATTCCAGAGCAATGAGTTTCAATCCTGGCTCTTAGACATACTGCCAGCATCACCACAAACTGGTCACATTTCACCTCTTTGAGACTACTTGCTCATTTCAAAATGGGAATAATCATACTTCCAGTACCCCACTCCCCATAGGAGGGAGGGAAAACACTTTGTAACTTTAAAGCACCATCCATCAACATTTATTAAACACTTACTTTATGCCAGGCCCTGGGGATACAAGGACGAAAGGGCAGTCCCTGCCCTCCTGGAGCCATTAGAATATAAATTCTAATGGGGGAGACAACAGGTTGGCATGTCAGTATATTCAGAAAATATCTAAAGTAAATAATAAAGTTAGAAGGTGGTGCCTGAGCTGAGTTCTGAAGAAGGCCAGGGATTGCAAGAGGAAAGAAGAGAGAATTCCAGGTGTGGGGCACAGCCAAGGCAAATGCACAGGGTGCACTGTGAAATGTGTTCTGAATATCTGATGTACATTTGCCTAGTGCTTCATCATTTTCAAATCACTTTTCTCACAATTCTGTGACATAAGTAGTGCCAATATTGTCACCTCCACACTACAGATGAGGAAACTGAGGCTGAGAGAAGTGACTAGCCCAAGGTCAGAAACGTAGCTAGTAAATGACAGAGCCAGGATCCAATTTAGGCCTTCTGGCTCCAAGGCCGGACTCTTTCCTACACTGCTACCTTTCCCACTCCTGCCTTGAAGTTATAGGACCTTGGGCAATGCAATTAAGGTCAGTGTGGGTCTCAGTTTCCTCATCTGTAAAATGGGAACAATAATAATACCTGAAGTACTCACTTCACAGGTTTGTCGTAAGACTCACATGATAACTTTAGTATGTAATTTGTACTTATATACATGTATGCATGTGTGTGCATGAAATACATATGAGTACTAAGGTATTCGTGTGTAAAGTACTTTGCAAATTATAAAAAGTGATACCTGCACATCAATTATTATTAGCTGAGTGCTTGTGGTCTGTGAGTGAATTCTGTGTGACAGCAACTTTATGTTGGTCGTGTGTGTGTATGTAATTGTGTCTGCATGTGTCTTGTGTGTCTGTGCCCAAATCTGTGTTTGTCTGCCTGCGTTTCTATACTGGATACATTTTGGATATCTCTGTGAGTCTGTCTATTTGTCTGTAATTGTGTGTGGCGTGTATATGTATAGGGTGTGTGAGTTGTGTACTCATGTCCATCTCTCTTTGACTACTTGTGGGTTCTATTGTTCACTCTAGGGCCTAGTGGATATGTCATAAAAGAATCAATCCAAGATTGACAATGACCAGAATAACAGGGCGTTGGGTAGAAAGGATTGGAGAAAGCACAGCTCAAAAGTTCAAAGCTTCCCTCCTAGGCTTTTCCTTGCAGAACAGGCTTTGGAAATTCCCTGAGATAAACTGCCCGACCCAACACCTCTCTTCTCTACTGCCAACAAAGGACAAACAAAATGACATCAAGTTTACTTCCAGTGTTGACTCATGGTTCTGCTAAACCAAAAGAACCCTGCCCAAGAACAATGGGTCCAAAGTACCTCAGTGGGTCCAAAGTACCTATTTGTCTCACCCTGGAATAAGACTGGTTCCAATTCTAAGTTCTCAGCAGTCACAAATCCTGACTCTGCCTGGGCAATAGGCCTTGGCAAGAGAAGGTCAGGCCAAGTGGAATATTGGCCATTAACTGTATTAGAGGGGCAGCTAGATGGCACAGTGAATAGAGAACTAGCCCTAGAGTCAGGAGGACCTGAGTTCAAATGTGACCTCAGACACTTGACACTCACTAGCTGTGTGACCCTGGGCAAGTCACTTAACCCCAACCTCCTCACCAAAAAAAAAAAAAAAAAAAATTGTATTAGAGACCAAGGCTAAATTGTTGATAGATTTAGCTAGCATCCGCCACCTTCAGGACAGTAGCATTCTTTTCACTACATTCATTTGATTCCCACAACAACTCTGTGAGTCCAATAATGCAAATAATATTGTCCCCACTTTGCAAAAAAAGAAACAGAGACTGAGAGAAGCTATGGTCATTTATCTGTAAAGTATTTGGCATAGTAACTGACACATAGTAGGTGTTGTGTAAATGTTACTTGTTATTATCATTATTACTGCTCAATACACAGCTAGTCAGTAAAAGAGATAGAATTAGAACTCACAGATTCTATGTCTAATGTGCTTTATTTATGTTTTGTTTTATTTTAAAATGAAGAAGGATTTATTTTTCTCTCTCTCCCACCCACCTCACAACTTAAGAGAAAAAAAAGAAAGAAAAACCAAAGCCCTTCTTAAAAAATACGAGTAGTTAAGCAAAACAAATTCCCATCTTGGCCGTGTTTGAGAATGACTGTCTTATTCTGCATCCTGAGTCCAACCCTCTCTGTCAGGAGAAAAAATCATTATTCCCTCTGGAACCATAATTGGTCATTGTATTGTTCAGAGTTCTTATGTCTTTCAAAGTTGTTTGCTTTACGATGTCAGTTTTTATTGTAAAAAAGTTTCTCTTGGTTTGCTCACTTCATGTAAGTCTTTTGAGATTTCTCTGAAATTATCCCTTTCTTCATTTCTCATGGTACAATAGTATTCCATCACAGTAATATGCTATAATTTATTCACTATTTCCCAACTTGGGCACCCCTTTAGTTTCCAGTCTTTGCCACTACAAAAATTAAAAAAAAAAAAAAGGCTGCTATAGATTTTTTTTTTACATATCAATCATTTTCTTCTTTTTTTTTTTTAAACTCTTTGGGATATAAGCCTAATAGTGGTATGTTTAGGCCAAAGAGTATACACAGTTCAGTGACTTTTGGGGCATGGTTCCAAATT